CGCCCCCGGAGGGCAGAGCCACCCCCAGCTGGGAACCACTGTGCTAGGGAGCAGCTCAGCCCCGGGCAGCCCAGTGCCAGAGGCTTACACAGGACTTGGGACTTGGTAGGGACCAGCGACTGATTTCAGGTCCCGATTTTGTGGACAAGCAAAGAGGAATTGACTTGCCCAAGGCCACACGGCACCGTGTCTCTGGACTCCCGGCTCTGCAGCATTCCAGCAGACGGGAGCACTGGTTTGGGAGTTCAGACATTTTCTCATCCCCCCAGGGTGCGAATGCCACTCCTTCCTCTTTCTGGCTTCCATTCGGTAACACTGACAGCCGCCGAGGGCTGGCACAGAGAGCATGTGTGCCCTCCGGCTCCTCCCCAGCACCCAGCTGTCACGTCTTCTCTCCTTCCTGGCCGAGTGTTTCCCAACACCCAGTGCAGTGAGCTGTCCCAGGTGTGACCCAGCGGCCTCACTTCCCCTTTCCCTACACAGAGTTCTGTGTTCACTGAGTGTGAGCAACGCAGCTACTATTTGGGAGAGCTGTTGTTTATAGAGCGGGTGCTGGTAACAGGCCCTCCGGGCAGGGCAAAAACCCCGAACCCCTGATTTGCGGTGTTAGCTCATTTCTGTGCCATAAACACTCCCACCGTCCAATTTCAAGCTGCCCAGTGTGGCCCTGGAAGGACTGACGCACAGGTCTGAGCTGGCCGTGCGCTCGGCTGCTGAGCCCGTGTGCCAGGCTCGGTGCCTGTGCTGTGGCTCTGGCTGCTGTGAGGTGCCCAGTACAGTCACCCCCTTTCCCAGATGAGGAAACCGAGATTCAGGGAGGTTCTGTTCCCCGTATAAGGTCAGGCTGCTAGGGAAGTGACAGAGCCCAGGTTGGAAACTCCGTCTGAATCTGCAGGTTTGGCCGGGCCAGGCATTCAGGGCTGCTCCAAGCACCCCCACCCCGAGCCCCCACAGGCCTGCCCTCAGAGGCTGGTCACCTCCCCAGATGCCTGCCCTTCAGTCCCCAGGCTCCCACTCCCTCGTTTAGCCTGTGCCCACCCTGTTCCTCGGCTGCTGGCTGTGGTCCCTGCTATGAGGCTGCCTGGTCGCGCCCCAGGTCTAGTCTGCTGGGGCAGAGAGTGCATGACTCAGCTCCTCCCCGTCCCTCCTGCTGCGGAAGGAACCCCAATGCCTGGCAGGGCAGTGGCTTCCCCTCTTTTGGGAAAGGTCAGCGTACCCTCATAGGTGAGCTCACCCACAGTCACCCCCACAGACACACTCGTGCACAGCTCACACTTAATAACGAGAGTGGGCATTTATGAGGTGCTGAACGTATGCCAGGCACAGTCTGAGCGTTATTTATTCCCACAGCCGTGCTGCGACACAGGCAGTAAGATGGTTGCTCCAGTTTTACGGCCCAGGAAACTTGGGTCCAGAGCTATTAGGTAACTTTCCCAAGATCACACAGCTCATGTGTGGCCTGGGACACAAACCTAGGCGTGCCTCTCTTCACCACCCCCAGCCGACGTGCCCACATGTCCCCCATAGACACTTCACATTCCTTCACACCTGTACACGCGGGTGTGTGAACCTCATGGACACACACTCGCACATGCAGACAGACATGGACCCTCGTCCGGAGGACCTAGTGGTGGCTCTGCCAGGGTCTCTACATCCAGGCAGGACTGGGCTGGGAGGGGCTGGGAGGTGAGGAGGAGCTGGCTGGCTGGGGTCCTGGTTTTTTGTATGAACTCCCTCAGCACCCCCCCCCCCTTTCTGGGGTCCCAGCCCAAGGAGCAGCACTCAGGACTTTTCTGCCCCACTCAGAGCCTGTCTGAACTTTGCAACTTGTGGCCTTGGGGGAGGGAGGCAGCTGTGACCTTTGGGGGTTTCTGTTCTGCTGGGCCTTGGCCACCGGCAGAGGAACGTGAAAGCCCCTTCTCTGGGGTTGTGAGGAATGACATTTGGATGTGCCTCCTCTCCCTCCCGCCCGCCGGTCCCAGTTCAGGGCAGGGCTAGGAGTGGGCAAGTTCAGCATGAACTAGAAATCTAGAAGTGCCCTCCTTCCCTTGAAAACTGGGGGAGGGGCGAGCCAGGGAGTCAGGACACAGTGGCAGGTCTTCAGCTTGGGGACACTGTTCTGGGCTGGTCCTGCCCCTCCCATGGACCAGCTGTGTGATTCAGAGCAGGGAACACACCCTCTCTGGGCCTCCATGGCCTCCCGGGGCTGCTTTAGAAGGATCCTCCTTGTAAGAGGCTATGAGCTGGCCTCGGGATATTGAGGGCTCCTCAGGGCTCAGGTGCTGAGGGGCCACAGCCAATGTGGGCAGGGCTGGGGGCCAGGGCTGCAGGATTGGCCAGTCCCGGGAGGGATGAGGTATTCTGCCTCTGCTCAGAGCACACCTGAATCTTGGCTCCTTCTGGAGCAAGGCCTTGGGTCTCAGTGTTCCCTGGGGAGGGGGTCTACCGTGCCTGTGGCCCCCACCCCACAGCAAACGCTCACCCTCAGACCCTCACCTCTCTCTACCGCGCTAAGATATATCTCGCCAACCCTTCACTTGCCTCAGTTCTCACTTTACCCTCATCCTTGGCAGTGGGTGAAAGTGTGGCCCCTGATTTAACAAACCCTTGTATGGAACTTACTATGCAACAGCCGCTGTTCTGGGCATTTTACCATTTACTCAGCCATTTAGTCTTCACAATAACCCTAGGAGATGGGCTGTTATTCTCCCTTTATACAAGTAGGTGAAAAATGGAGGCACAGAGAGGCTAAGTAACTTGTTCAAGGTCACACAGCTAGTGAGTGATGAAGTCATGATTTGCACCCATGCGTCTGGCTCCAGAATCCATGCTCTTGGCTGCTGGGCTGGGCCACCCTGTGCTGAGGGGGTGGCCTTGGGAGAGTCACTCTCCTTCTCTGGGCCTCCCCCCTGCCCCGCCTCAAGGGGAGAACGATTTGGAGAACAGGGCCCTCTGAGCCCTGCCCGAGGAGGGCTCACACTCCAGCAGGGCAGGCAGGTGCTAATCACAGAAACCGTAGAGGGCACACGTCCCGAAAGCACCTTGTGTGGAAAGAACATGCGCGGTGGGCAGAAGCAAGTAAACTTCAGGGCTTGTGACACAGGGCGCAGATGGTGGTGAGGAGGAGGAAGGAGGAAGGAGGGGAGCTGGTTGAGGCCTGACCGCTGTCCCTCCTCCCTTCCCCACCCAGCCTCACCTGCCTGCTGATAAGGCCCAGGCAGCTCCTGGCTCCGAGCAGCAGCACCTGCTGACCACGGCGCCCAGCTCCAGCAGCAGCTCCCTGGAGAGCGCGGCCAGCGCTTCGCACAGGGGGACGCCCACCAGGAACCAGCCACAGGCGCCGGGGAGGGACCAGCCCACTGGGTCTGGGGAGGCCCGTGCTGGCTCCGGGAGCTCAGGTAAGTGGCCCCGGCTTCGTCCCCCCTTCGTGATTCTTCCTGCTTTCTAACTGAGCCCTTCCTCCTGGGCCCCAGCTTCCAGCTGGGCCTGAGAAGCCCTGCACAGTAGCCGTGGGTTGCCCCCCAGTGCAACACGCAGCCACCAGGCTCTTTGGGTTCTCTGAACCCCCCAGTTCCCTCCCACCTTTGCCCATGTGGGTTCTTTCACCAGGAGCACCCTTCCTTCTAGACAACCCTAACTTGTCCTTTGAGTCTGATATCCAGGCAGGGTATAGCATACCCTAAATAATAAAAGCCTAATATGCTAAGTGTCCAGTCATCCAGTTGTCCGTTCAATCAAGGCATAATATGCTAATGATTTGCTAAGGCTGCTCAACCGCTCGCTATGATGTGCACTCACCACCAGGGGGCAGACGCTTCGACTGGTAGGTTAGCTTGCTGCTGGGGTCCGGCCATGCCTCCCGTAGTCCTTCCCTGGCTGGCCAACCTCCTGTGTCCTCCCCGGCCCCGATTGTGCACTAGTGGGGTCCCTCGGCCTAGCCTGCACCCTCTCGCAATCTGGGACCCCTCAGGGGATGTCAGAGCTGGTCTCAGCCCGATCCTGCAGACCAGGCCGAGGGACCCCACTGGTGCACCAATTTGTGCACTGGGCCTCTAGTCTAATATAAAGTAGTAGTACATATTTTTTTATTTTTAGGGGATATTTATTAAAGCTGGGGAGAGTGAAACAAGGAAGGATCTAGGATAACTGGAGAGGGACTGTTTGGGGAAATGAGCCCAGGTGAGTTGCTTTGGCTCACTAAGAGGTCAGAGAAAGGGGGCCTTGTGCTGCCCATTGGGACGGCACAGGCGTGCTCCTGGGAGGTAGAGTGTCAGTATTACATATTAATGTTACAGTATTACGTTATTATATAATATCATTGTTTTATAATTCTGTAATATATTATAATACTAATATTGATTATATTGTATAGTCAAGGAAACTGAGGCCCAGAGAGTTTAAACAGCTGTTCAAGGACACACAGCTCGTAAAGAGAGAGCTGGGCATCCCCCTGGGCTTGGGGGCGGGAAGCTACATGAATAGGGGATGCCTCCAGGGCTCCCCTGTGTGGCTTGTTGCCAGTCCCTTTGGGCCTGAGGCCCCAGGACCGGGTGTGAGTTCTGGAGGGGCATTTTGCCTGGATTTGGTCTGTGACAGGGATCACAGTGCTCAGTGGAGGGCGCCCCTGCAGGGGCCCCCGGGAAGCCTGGAGCTTCCTTGGGTGTATTCAGTAGTCAAGTCTGCTGGCCTGCGTCTCTCCCGCTCCCCCGCAGAATGGCAGCGGACGTGGGCATTTCTAGATGCCCTCCCAGACGGTGCCTCGGGCATCTGAGGCGGCTCCTTAACCCCACTGAGCCTCAGCTTCCTCACCTAGAGATGAGCCATGGCACCTCCTTGGCAGGGCTGCCACCCCTTCCCCACCTGTCACCCCACTCAGGTTGCCTCCTCCCCAGGCTGCCCACCTCAGCAAGGCACCCCGCTTCTGCGTCTCCTTCATGGCCTGCCCTCCTCATGTGATGTCAGTGCCCCCACCCCAGCCTCAGAGCTCCCGGGGGACCATTGGGTCAGTGCCCAGAACACAGCAGGTGGCCCTGAATGTTTGTAGACTGAATGAATGAACTGCAAATGTAAACTGTTGGTCTTCATCCAACTTTTGGATTCACTTTTCTGATCCTTAGCGATACCTCTTCCACAGCCAGCCTGGTGTGGGTTCCTCCTTGCCCCCTGTGTGGACCCCTGACCATGTCTGCCCACCCCTTCGACCCTCTGCCCCTTCTCTGTTCGCTCTCCTCTTGCCTCTCTGGCCTCTGCGATCCCCTTCTGTCCCTCCCACCCACACACCCAGCACCTCTTGCCACTGTGGGTTAGGGTAAACCCCCGCACTGCACCGTTGTGGTCCCCCCGTCCGCCCCCACTGTGTCTCGTTCACAGTGTGCAAAGGCCATGGTGACTTTGGGTGACATTTGGGTGCCGTGCAGACTCAGGGTGGAAATTTCCTTCTGGCCCCGTGAGTTCAGCCCTCCCTTGCCCTGGCCTATTTGGGGTTGTCCTGAGAGAGGGGAGCTCACCAGCTCTGACCTCCTCTCGGAGCCCCTGGAGTTGGGGGAGCTGGGCTGGGGGAGGACTGGAGAACAGCCAGCCAGTCCTCCCTGCGCTCTGGGCACCACACCCGTTTGCGCTGAGCGGGTCCCCACAGTCCCAGCAGCAGCTGTCACTTTCTGAGAGGCTCTTGTGCCTCCAGCCCCTTATATTCCTCTCCCGGCTTATCCGTCATTCTGTCCCACGCTGACCAGTTAGGAAACTCAGATGCCCGCAGGGGGTGGGCGGAAGGCGGGGTAAACCTGTGCCCGGAAGCCCTCCCTGCCAGCCGTGTTCAGGTACGTGGGCCCTCCATGGCCAGATCTCCCACATCTGGCTCCCGAGGGAAGCCATGAATCAGATTTTAAAAACGTTATTTTTAATTTTTAATGGAACCAAAGTTTATTGGGAGAAGCCATTCCTGGAAAAGGTGCAATTTTATTTTATTTTTAATTCCTGAATTTTAAATGTTGGCAGCCAATTCTCTTAAAAAACATGACCACCAACATGTCGTAACCGGCCTTTGGGCAGGGGACAGGCCATGATGGCCTCCCCACTGCAAGACCCCGGCTGACCACCCTCTCCTCTTCTGCAGAGTCCTCCCCAGGCGGCCACGGGACCCACGTCAATGTCACCTGCATCGTGAACGTTTGCAGCAGCTCTGACCACAGCTCGCGGTGCTCCTCCCAGGCCAGCTCCACGACGGGGAACGCGGACCCCAGCCCCTCCGGCTCCCCGAAGGACGAGCACGTCCCCTTCTCCAAGGAGGAGTGCCCAGTGCGGTCCCCGCGCGGGGCCCCCGAGACTCTGCTGCAGAGCCTGGAGGAGAAGCCCCTGAACCTGGGCGTGCCTGACGCCGGCATGAAGCCCAGTTAACCAGGCCGGCAGGGGCCGCGTCGCCGCTGAGTGGGCTGGCCTCGGGGTCTCCCTGGTCCCCACGCCCAGCGCTCTGGCTCCTTCTAGGCCACGTTCCTTTAGTGGCCTCCACAGCCTGGCAGGCAGGGAGGAGGCAGGGAGAGTCAGAGAACCCCTCCGGTCATGGGCATCCTTCTCCCAAGGCTAGCTGGACGTGCTGGGCAGCCCCGCGGGTCCGGGTCCCTGCCGCTCTGAGCTGCCCCCTCGCTGGGCCTGTGGCCCTGGCTTCTGAAACCCTTGTTTCATCCCTGGGCTCTGGCTCCCCGGGAGGTTCCAGCGTCCAGAGAGGCCGTGGGGGAGGGGGGCGCGGTGGGAGTCATCCATGGAGAAGGGGCAGCCAGTCAGCCTGGATGCTGGGCCTGCAGGGTGGTCCCAGAGGGGGAGGGGCTGTCATCAGCCAGATGGTTCTGTGCAGGGTGGGGTCCCCTGGGTTAGCTAAGGACCCTTGGGAAGCACCTCAAATCCTTTCCTGCTGGTTCCGCCTCCTGTTTGTGGTGTGAAAATCAGACCCCCAGAGGCCCAGCAGGCAACCTGGATGAGGCCCTGCCCCGGGCAAGATGGCAAACCTCTAACAGGAAATCTAATTTCAATATGTGGCAGTTTAAAAACTCACCAAAAAAAACGTAAGCACCATGCAAACAAGCCAGCAGCACAACAGAGCCCAAGTCTCAGCGTGTGCCTTCTCTGCCTTTGACCTTCACTCCACTTAGCCAGAGCGCCAGCCCCGCCGCTGCCCGCCCTCCTGCGCTGTCTGGTGTGGGCTCCCGGGCCACACCTTGTATCAGGGAATTTCAGGACCTGGAGACCCAGCTCCTGCAGCCATCTCTCTCCTTCTACCTCAGCCTGGACCTTCCTTTTTGGACTCCCAAGGGGTGCTCCTGTTCCCCCAACCTCCTCCCGCCGTTCCTGGAGTCCCAGGCCCCAGGGGAGCCGCGGGGCCACTTTAGTACTGTGCCTGTCGCCATCCCAGGTGGATGTGAGATGCTGAGAGCCAGTCTGTGTCTGTCTGTCTGTGTGTGTGTGTGTTGTGTGGTGTGGGTCCGTGAAGCAGCCGAAGTCAACAGTTTTGCCAGGGCATTCTTACTTGTTAAAGAGCCTGCCCACTCCCCCCAAACACACTTGTTCACTCCCTGCAGAGGGTGGAAGGAACGGGGCTGGGGCTCCTGGAGAAGCCATTTGAGTCTGTGGTACTTGGATCTTTGTTGAAAAAGACTTGAACTTTGCAGCTGAACTTTTAGAGGGTCGGAGAGTCCAGCCATTACCTTGGAGACACGAGCGGCTTCCCACCGTGGATTCAAGATGTGCTTACTGGCTACCTGGACCCGCCCGGGTCTCTGCCCACGTTGGACCCGGCGTGGTTATGGAGCAGGCCTGCCCCCTGGTGGACAGTTCCGGGAGGCCCTCCAGCCGCCTTTCCATCCATCCCCCCAGCAGAGCCGGGAAGCCGTGAATTAAATAGAGACTCTTTCTGGATGTAGCCTCGGTTCCCCGGCTTGTGTGGATCCCAAGGCCATGAGAGTTTGCACTGTCTGCTGGTCAGCATTCCTGCTTATAAATAAACCCGTTTGTTTTACACGTGACTGCCTCTCCTGCCTTCTCAGGGTCCCGCCTCCTTCCCTGGTTCCTCCTCATCTCAGTCCTTGTGAAGGGACGAGTATTCCTGCGCTTGTGGTTAGGGCAGGCACTGCCTTAGGTGCTGGGATGCAGCAGCTACTGGGAGAGGCCTGCAGAAGGGAAGGAGGAGCCGTTACTTGGGGGGCGGGTATGGTGGAGGGGCGGGGGCGCAGCGAGAGGGAAGGGGAGCTGCCAGGGCCAGAGGACTTCCTGCTAGGAGGGCAATGGGAAAGGGATTCACTGAGGAGCTGCAACCAGTGGGGAGATGCCGCCAGATCTGTGATTTGGAAAGACACAGGGGCGGGGGTGGGGGCCGGGCGGAGGGAGGCCCTCTGGCCTCTACCAGGAGGTGGGGTGGCCCCTTTGGCTACATTGAGCGCTGGCGAGGGAGGGCAGAGTGAGAGAGAGGCGATGTGCGGGTGGTTCTGCACACACCCCTCTAGTTCCTCTGTCCGCCCAGCTCTGTAGCCCGAGGCTGCCCCCTGCCGGCCACACGCCCCGCCCTGCCTTCAGCCTTCCAGGAGGGTTTGCCCGCGGGAAGGCACCAACTGGAGACTGGGGGTGGGAGGGGAGCGAGGCCCAGTGTATGTCCTCCTCCCCACACCCCTCCCAGCGGTCTCTACGTGTGACCACCCTCTGCTGTGCTCTGCTGCCCCAACTCCCTCTCCTGCCCCGACAGTCCCTGGTCCGGCTTCCCCTTCTATAGGCTGGGGTAGTAACAGGCGATTCAGTGCGAGGGGACGGAAAGGAAACCATTCCTGTGTCTCCTCTCGGCCTTCTGCGTGTGGCACTTCTCATCACCAAATGTGGTTTTCTCTCCACACTCCAAGCAATCCAACTCCCACACTATCTACCTCAGTGATGGCGAACCTTTTGAGCTCGGCATGCAGCATTTTGAAAAACCCTAACTTAACTCTGGTGCCGTGTCACATATAGACATTTTTTGATATTTGCAACCATAGTAAAACAAAGACTTATACTTTTGATATTTATTTTATATATTTAAATGCCATTTAACAAAGAAAAATCAACCAAAAAATGAGTTCGCGTGTCACCTCTGACACGCGTGTCATAGGTTCGGCATCACTGATCTACCTGGAGGTGAAACCAGACAACCAGGGGGTCCAGGCTGCCTGTCGCTACTTGAGCCAATTAGGCAGAGACAGCGTTGAATCATATATGAGCGTTTATTCCAAGACTGCCGGCAGTGTGGGGGAGCTGCAGGTCATCCACAAACATCTGCTCTGCAACCCCCGTAAGCCAGCTGCTGATATAGGGCAGGACAAGGATTACGTGGGGAAGTAGAACTCACAGGCATGGGCTGGGGTGGGACTCCACTGTTTGGGCAACAAGGTTGTTAATCTTTCCATGATAGTAGATATTAGGCAGTTCTTTGAATGAGAATGGACCGTCTTCCAAGGTTGACTACAAGATCCAAGGTTGACTGCCAGGACCAAGGTTGACTCCCTGGGGGCGTACAACTCCCAGCCAGGTCAGAATGTCCTTTCTTTAATCAGAACGAGGCAAGCACGGTTAATAGAGCATGATTAATATTTCTTATAACTATGGCTCGTCTCCACTATTCTGTTTTTGCCCCTAACAGAGATGGTGTCAGACCCCGCAGGCTGGGCGCTCAGCCCCGCAGGGCTGTCCTCACTTCAGAGGCCACTCACCGGTCCAGGGGGCACCTGTGCTCCTGCCCCATCATCTAGAACTCACAGGCTCCAGGACCCCCTTCTTGGGCTTCATCAATTTGCTAGATCGGCTCCCGGAACTCAGGAAAACAGGTTACTCACTTGATTACGAGTTATTACCAGATTCAGGAACAGCCAGAGAGAAGAGATGGTGGGCAAGGTTTCTGTGGGAAGAGACGAGGGGGGGGGGGGGGGTCCATGTTCTCTCCAGTGCACCACCCTCCCAGCACCTCCACGGAGTCAGTAACCTGGGAGCTCTCATCCTTTTGGGGTTTTTTTGAGGCGTCATTACATAGGCATGATTGATTAAATCATTGGCCATTGGTGATTGGTTCCAACTCCAGCTGCTCTCTCTAACGGAGAGGTAGGGGGGTGGTTGGCTGAAAGTTCCAACCTTTAATCACGTGGTTGGTTTCCTTGGCAACCAGTCCCCATCCTTAAGGGCTTCCGAAAGTCACCCAGTAACATAAACTCCGTTGTGATGGAAAGGGCTTTGATGGGAATAACAGACACTGGTTTCCCCGCGGTGGCTCTGGCGCTGTTCCAGAATATGAGGACACAGAACAAATAGTGGGCCCTGGCTGGTTACAGCGTCGGCCCGAGGACTGAAGGGTTCCAGGTTTGATTCCGTGTGAAGGGCATGTACCTCGGTTGCAGGCCCCATCCCAGGGCGAGTGCGCGGAGCCAACCAATCTCTCTGTCTTTCCCCCTCCCTTCCACTCTCTCTAAAAATCAATGGGGAAAAAAGAATATCCCCGGGCGAAGATTAACCAAAAAAAAAAAAAAAGAAAGAACAAATATTAGAACAAAATATCAGTGATAAGACACTCCCAGTGAAGTGACCATACGTACGCAGGCATACCTCGGAGCTGTTGCGGGCTTGCTTCCAGACCACTGCAATAAAGCGGGCCGTCATATTTTTGCTGGTGGAGGGTCTTGACTTCAATTGATAAAAAATGCAACACCCAGAAGCACAAGGGAGAGGAGCCCAATGGGACGAGGTGTGCCTGTATCAACCACACTACCACAGGGGGTCAGTTCGAAGCAACGGAAGACAGCCACTTGTCTGTTGGGGTGCCCAGTCAAATGGGCCCGCTGAGCCCCTCCTGCCGCTTTCTTTCCTGTAACCATCCAGGAGCAATTGGTGTCGCTCAGGCATGGCCGGCTGGGGAGGGGAGGGAGCAACGTGATTATTCCTCTTTAGTTTCCATTCACTCATTGTCGCGATGGAGCAGAGTAGTGGATGGACTAACAGAGCAGTCAGGCATCCTGGGCTCTCACATCTCACCTGCCCAGGGCTGAACCCTGGCTCTACCACTTCCTGTCTGTGTGACCTCGGGCAGGTTAATGAACGTCTCTGTGCCTCACTCTTTTTATCAGTAAAAATGGGATTAAAACAGCACCTCCCTTAGGGTAAGGAATCACATGAATTACTGCATGTAAAATGCTTGGAACTGTGCCTGGCATATAGCAAGTGCTCAGTAAATATTAGTTGCTATTTGTGTGTGTGTGTGTGTGTGTGTGTGTGTATGTGTGTGTGTGTGCTGGGGGTGCAACAGAGTTCAGGACAGACCAGGTCGCTGCTGAAGCTGACTCGCTAGGAGGGGCTATGAAAAGAAATACCTGTAGGCTATGCCAGGGGGTGGTCAGTGCTAAGAAGGAAAATAAAGCAACATAAGGGACAGAGAAGGGTGGAGGGGCTGTTAGTTTGCAAGGTAAGTGGATGAAGGCTTTTCTGAGGAGCTGGCCTCTGAGCGGCCTTGGGGAAGGGAGGGCTGGCCACCCTTGGGACCTGGGGGTAGGACAGAAGTGAGGTTGGGGAGGGTGGCTTCAGAAGCCACGGGAAGGATGGAGGGACGGTTTCATTTTCAGCATGATGGGCGGAGTCCCAGCCAGGGAGTGTGAGAAGCTCTGCAGCTTTGCCAGTCTGAGTTGGGAAATTGAACTTCAGTTACTTTATCTGCATAATTGCCCTGAGAGATAGGGAAGTACCCATTATCCCCACTTTGCAGAGGAGGAATCGCATGGGAGGGCTGGCTGGGCTTGGTACTTATCGAAGGAATCAAGTAGGATGAGCAATCTGGTTACTATGGGAGACTCTTGATAACCAGCTCCATAGAATTTCACAAGCAAGTCCAAGGGGACTCCTCTTTTATTTTAAATTAATTATTTTTATTGGCTTCAGAGAGGAAGGGAGAGGGAGAGAGAGGTAGAAACATCAATGATGGGAGCGCATCATTGATCGGCTGCCTCCTGCACACCCCCTACTGGGCATCGATCGAGCCACAACCCGGGCATGTGCCCTGACTGGGAATCAAACCATGACCTCCTGGTTCATAGGTCGAAGCTCAATCACTGAGCCACGCCAGCCTGGCTTGAGGAATAATTTACAGAAAAAAAACAATTTGCCAATTTTAAGTGAACACTTCAAGGAATTTTGAGAACGGTGGACAGCCTTGTGACCACAACAATCCAGATCTGGACCAGTTCCATCGCTCCGAAAAGTTCCCTCATGGCCCTCGCTCGGCAATCCCCTCCCACCACCTCTGGCTATTGGCCACCACTGATGTGCTGGTGCCATTCTAGTTTGGTCTCTTCTAGAATGTCATAGAAATGGAATCATTACAGTATATCATTTTTTGTGGTCTGCCCCCCCCCCCAAAGCTAATACTTTTGAGGTTCCTCCAAGCTGATGCCTGTATCAGTACTTCGCTCCTTTTCATTGCTGAGTAGTATTCCACGGTGTGGGTAAATTGCTATCTGTTTTTGCTTTCTCCTGTTGATGGATATTTTGATTATTTCCAATTTTGGGCTATTATGAATAAAGCTGCTATGAACACCTGTGTATAAGTCTGTGTATGCACATGCTTTCATTTCTCTTGGTTAAATACCTGGTGTGGGATTGCCGTACGGTAAATGTATGTTTAGATTGATAAGAAACTCAGGGCACAGACATTTTAAGTAATATTGGTTGAATGAATGGTGCCCCAGCACCTGAATTAAAAAAAAAGTTTTTATTGATTTCAGAGAGAGGAAGGGAGAGGGAGAGAGAGAGATAGAAACATCAATGCTGAGAGAGAATCATCGATCAGCTGCATCGTTCGGTTGTGCCCCCTACTGGGGATCGAGTGCACAACCCAGGCATGTGCCCTGACTGGGAATAGAACAGTGACCTCCTGGTTCATGGGTCGATGCTCAACCACTGAGCCATGCGGCTGGGCCGGCACCTGCATTTTAAATAAACTCTTCTGGTACAGCCAGGTGTTGGCTCCTTTCCTTCTGCTTTTCATCTGTGGAGTCCAGGGATTTTACACCCAAACCTCAGCCCTTGAGGGGACCCAGTGTTGAGGTTCTGACAGGTGGATTCCACTTCAGAGGAATGACTCAGCCCATGAGCTTAGCATTATGATGGCTGGTAATTATTTGGTAAGTATACTATTGCCACCTTGCTGTCCTGTGTCCTGCATTTTCTGACTTTTTATGAGCCTGTAGGGTTCTTCCTGTTCTTCTGGGGACAATGCAAAATGAAGTGTCCATTCGTTCGTTCATTCATTCATTCATTCATTCATAGAAACATTTGCGAAAAGAAAATCTCTGCTTTCAGGGAACGTTCAGGATGGGCAAGGATGCCATGTATAAGCAAATAAATAAGGTAATCTCAGGGAGCATTACATTCTGTGAGGAAATACAATAGGGTAGTAGATGAGGGGAACTTGAGGTAGGGTAGCAGGGAAATCCTCTTGGAGTGGGAACTTTTAAAAAATATATTTTTATTGATTTCAGAGAGGAAGGGAGAGGGAGAGAGAGATAGAAACATCAACGATGAGAGAGAATCATTGAGTGGCTGCCTCGTGCACACCCCCTATAGGGGATTGAACCTGCAACCGGGCATGTGCCCTTGACCAGAATTAAACCCGGGACCCTTTAGTCAGCAGCTCTATCCACCGAACCAAACCGGCTAGGGCAGAGTGGGAACATTTGAAGCAAGAGGAGTCAGCTTTCTAGCTGCTCTGTAGCCATATAAGTCTATTGAGCACTTGAAATGTGACTAGTTAGAACTCAGGTGTGATTTAAGTGTAAAATACACACTCGATTTCAAAGCTTACTATAGTTTCTCATTACTATTTTCTTCTGTTAGCTACAGGTTGAGATAATATATTCAGGACATATTGGATTAAATAAAGTACAGTATTAATTTCACTTTCCTTTTTCTTTTTAAAAATTGTGCCAACTCAGTACATTTAAAATCACCACGTGGTTTGCATTATCTTTCTGTTGGGCAGCAGTGGTCCAGGGAGAAAGCACCCTAAGTGGTGAGAATGGCAAAGGAAAGGCCCTGAGGCATGTGCCCTGGATGGATGCTGTGGCAGAGTGGGCCAGGGATAGAGGGGCAGAAATAGGAATGGGCCAAAGCCAATAGGATCTTGGTGTCAACTCAAGTGAAGAATGGGTTTTAAGTCTAATGGGGAAGCCGTTTGAGGCAGGGAAGCGGCGTGGTCTGAATTCTGTTTTCACAGACCCCTGAGGCTGCTAAGCAGAGATCTGCCTGGGTGGGTGAGATGGTAGAAGGGAGACTCCCGAGTTTCCATAGGGTCTGCAGCCAGATTCACTTGGGGCCCGCGCTGCGCTGCAGGAGCGGCTGCTC